TGTGCTGGTAAAGAGATTATGTAATATGCTTACATCATGGCGGCAGGAGCACCTGCTGGCAATCCCGCCGCCACGGTAAGCACCGAGTGTCAGAGAACAAAATGAGACCGCCACAGAAAAGGTGACACAGGCTGGGCTAGATCTTCGCAAATCTCAATTGTATTGTATTGAATTGAGATCAGCATTCCCTGATCTTTCAGCAGAACACGACAACAGCAGCAAATCGGGACTACCCTGTCCTTAGCCGACTGGGAGCCTACCGGCTCCTCTGTTGACTTCTACTTCACCTACAGCATCCAACTATACCAGTGGGAACTCACACCCACGAAAAAAACCCTCCCTCAGACACCAGTCCAAGTGGTAGATGGCACTCATCTACGAGAATGCATCAATATGAGTAAAATTTAAAGTCAATCCAACGTGTCTGAATCTTATGATATGATATTGATTTCAGTCTGATGAATGTTTTCATAATCATTCTGTATAACTACAATATAACTTTACAAGCTCAAAAATGTCAAAGAAAAGGCTGTGTATCTTGATTTGTTGATATATTTCAGTCAATAAGACAAGTAAATGTTCATAATCATTGGATTTTTTTTCTATTTTGAGACCGCTCACTTGCGGTGGATACGTTATGATTCAAAACCACTTGCAACTTGCACTTTTCATATGAAGAATAGAATATGTAATATTATTTTTATTTTTGTTTGTTTTTCCCTAAATTTGATAAATGCATTTAAAAGTTTCCACAGCCTTGCACAACAAAGGATAGCGTGTATCAACAATATTTGTTGCAGAATAGTCAGGTACTTTACCATTTTATTTGAAGCTTCCACAATGCTCTGGTTGTAACGAAAAATCATACCAGCATATTAGGTAGTTAGAGAGTTTGTTTTTTACTGACTCTTTATGTGAAATTCAGAAAAATAACTTTATTTCAAAATTTTATACGTTGGTACAAACTAACATGGTCTGTGGCGTCCATGATACAACATGAAACAATGTACCAAAGTGCTTGCGGTTTTGGAATGCTACAAAAATCCCTTATGTACAATCCATCTACCTGTTTCTTTTTTACAGTATCTCTGAAACTTAAAAAAACTAAATCAATAATAGTGTAATGTTTGCTAGTTTCCGTGATTTCGGTCGGTCCCTCCTACTCCATTGAATTTTGGAATGTCAGCAATAATGAAGCAGTTATTTTGTCTATGCTCCTTAATGTCATCAATTTAAAAATCTTATAGTCCTTTCATTGTCTTATTTTTTAGCAGATCTTTTATTTCGTTCTTTCCAAGTGTGACGTCCTCAAAGTACTGATTAATGTTTGCATGGTATTTTTCCCTTTACTAGGAGTCCAAAAGAAACAGTACTCAGGATCATACAAATCAGTATCAAAAAAAAATAATAATCTTACATGGTAACAATTCGATCTCTACTTTTAGTTTTAGAGTAACATAATTAAAGATCACAGGTTGGTTTGCACATTAGTCACTTATCTTTCCAAAATACATCTTTGCCCTTATCTGATTTGAGTATATTAATTCCATTATACTTTGTAACTTTATGTGATTCTTGAAACCTATATCGTCTGTGTCTCTTCCATGTTTCTTATATTACCATCTTAAGCATTTTTGAAGGACTCGATAAAGACCCTGTTAGTTTTTTTCTTTGGAATAGGTAAGCTCAATTCGACTGAACAAACTTTTCACAATGATATCCATATAATCTTGACTAGATTATACCTTAAATTTCGAATCCCTGTTTATACATTAGTGTGAATAAAAGGATTTTTGTTTAATCATGTTTAGATGAACATGAAGGTTATGGGATTTGCCTTTCAGTTGCAAATTTTATATGTCGGAATGAATTGCTGAACTCAAGATCCAATCCTAGGTGTGGTTTTAATGACTATTTTTGATTCATGTTGTGGCACTTCTCAAAGTTCACTGCTAATTCGAACCTCCATTTGCAACATCATATACTGTAAGAGGCTGCAGATGCCTCTAAACAATGGCAGGGGTAGTCATAATTGTTTATACTTGGTTCTTTATAAACCCAGATAAACCCCAGATTTATGTTCTATCCCCTTTAGTTTTTTTGTTTTTTTTGTGAATGTTGTTACATACAGATGGTTCCACATGTGTTCAGCTGGCAAGGAGTCAGTAGCCCTAGTGACCGATCCCGATTTCCCCATTCCTTGAATTGGCGGGAAAATGTATTTTTCTATTTAATACAGATAGTTATTATTGTTACTGATGTTATGATTATTAAATTATTATTAAAATCTCGATAACATTTAAGACAATGAAATAATGCAAAAGACCCTTTCCTACAGTCGAGGAAAAGGGTAAACAGGTGAGATACGTAGGACTAATAATCGACTCCCTGGTGACTACGCACTTGAAGAGCCATCAATTTGTGAATATAATAAATAAAATGCATTACACTGGGCATGACATGTATTCTTGCCATACGTGGCGATTGGTTTAAGGAAGAGTACTACGCAGTGAAGGAAACACACGAGAATATGGCTTAGTCTAATCGCTAAACTCGGGGTCGCGTGTCCGGCCTCCCAACCGGAGGCTGAAGTATCAGATGAAGTTAGATATAATCATCATCTAAGTCCTCGCTGGTTAGATGTATTACGACGATAATATTGGACATTCAGTATATTTGATGCAATGTGATAATCCTACGTTTGTTGTTGTTGCATCATTTGTGAAGGTGTGTTTTTCTAAAACAGAAAATGGCAATAACATTTAGTAGTGAATGAAAAGCTACCTCCTCGTCATTTCAGTAAAGAAAAAATGCATAGTGTTTATACACGTGTCAAAAGTACAGATTTAAGGCAGTCCCTATGTACACAAGCAAAATAATATTTGTAAAAAGATAGGAAACGGTTAAATTAACGTTTGACCACAAAGCAAAAGGGGCCTCCAGGTTCCCTGTATCATGGTGATACGCCATGAGAGTTATCTTAACCTTTGGCTGAGTCATAGACAGAAACAGTGGCGTAGATAGAGGCGGTCAGAGTTATCTTAACCTTCGGCTGAGTCATAGACAGAAACAGTGGCGTAGAAAGAGGGGGGGGAGGGGGGGGCGAAAAAATACCCTTAAGAGCTAAACTGCCATTTTATCGGAAAATAGCTAATCTTCTCGGAAAATAATCATGAAAAAACGAAAATGTTTATTATTTTTTTGTCGGAAAATCTGCATTTTTTGCCCCCCTAAAACATTTCCTATCTACGCCACTGGACAGAAATTGGTAGGCAAAGACGTTTTCATGGGAAGACAGAGACAGAATAACTCCACATCTGTAATTATAAAGAAAGAGTTAATCAAGCCATTCTCTACATTTTACTGTTATACTCTAATCGAAAAATACAAATAACACCGCCTTCACTTCTGTTGCATTACAGTTAAATATTTGAAATGTCTAATATTACCGTTATATCATGCTGTCATCTCTTTATCAGTAAAGGAGAGACTTCCCGTCAAATACCCCTGATTCGACAGTGGGGTTTGGTGCCTGACGTCATCGTTTGAAGAAACGGAGCCTATCATCTGGCCTAGAACTGACACATCCCCATGTATCTGCGCATGTGTGACACCGTTTCGTCCCCATCTACGCGAGCTGGAGCTCGATAGATCCATTTAGGATAATTAATGCTGCTTAATACGCGAAATGCATAACATATCAGACGACAGTCACCAGTGCTAGTTGTTCTTTTATAAATCTAATATCTGGCTGATCCATTTTTTAAGTAAAATTCGATTCACAAGCTAAAACAAAATGAAAACCCCGCACACATGCACCAAATAAATCATTGACTACAGAATCGTATTTATAAAGATAATTATTTTCAAGAGCAAAGAGGTTTATATGTTGTATATACCTTATATAAATGGAATTATAACTTTAGCTTATCGGTAAGTATTATTTGGACTAAAGGTCTTTGAAAATCTATCATATGAATGCATTCGGACATTGCATTCGGACATTGTTGTTACACTTGACGTGTAACAATTACGCAAGCAAGATAAAAATGTTTTCATCTTAGTTAACCTGAAAATATTCCATGTTTGATTTGGTGAAAAAATAGTTTCGAAAAATCGACGTAATTTTCTACAGTATTCTGCTTCTTAAACAAAAGTATCTGCATTTTTGTTTTCTTGTCAGTTTTCTTTATACTATGGGGAATTATAATTTAAAGAAAATGAAGCGACATGTAACAATAATATATCCTGTGCGCCATTATTCGCATCTCAAATAGCACGCCTGACCCTAATGACCCAGTGCGCCGCCGAAGTCGAAGATAAAGCTCTGCTGTGGCTCTGAGTGAGACTGGTATCTTTTTCGCCAGTATGATATCTCAAACCTCGATCTAACTACTGATTCATTAGTCAATGAATTGTAGAGAAACCTTTTTGAATATGGGAAAAATTTTGAGTATCACTGTTTCGCGGTATTGCGCGTTTGTTGGTATTTTGTTAGTATGTGTAAATTCTATTTTAAATTATATTCGCCTTTTTAAACTAGTATATAAAGAAATTTTTCTTCGATCATTACCATTCATCATCATCTTTTACATCATCATTATTATGTTTTTTTTATTATTATTATTGTATGTATTATTTTCATTATCATTACTATCAGTGTTGTCATTATTATCATTGTTATCATTATCGTTATTTTATTGCTGTTATTGTTATCATTAATATTATTATTATAACTGTCATTACTACTATTACTATTGCTATTGCTGTTATATTTTATATCATTATGATTATGTTTATCAGTATCATTATCATTTTCATAATGCTATGTTAACAGTAGTAGTAATAGTAGTAGTAGTATCATTATTAACATTATTATCGTTTGTTGTTTAACAATGACACGTGAATCTAAATCTTAAGAACTAAAAAGAAAAATGCAACAAATGGAATGAATGGATTGCATCCCATGTAATGTGTACATGGAAGAATAAATCAAGTAGTTCGGAATGTTGTGTATTTTTATTTGAAAATAGATCTTACAGATGGTGTACAATGAGCTTACAAACCGTCGATCGTGTGTGTGTGTGTGTGCGTGCGTACGTGCGTGCGTGCGTGCGCGCGTGTGCATGCGTGTGCGTGTTTGATTTTGTGAGAGAGAAGGAGAGCATGTGTGAGTGGCCTTGTACGTGTATGTGCATATATGTGAAAATTCGTATTTCATTCATCTTCATTCATCATCAGGAGGAGGTGTGAAGAGCCCATAGTCGAGGCAGTCCTTCACCAGATACCAGTAATCCGTGGCGTAGTCCTGATCGATGCCCCAGGGCCCCCCGACATGAGTGCGCGCGTAGGTCTCACACGTAGCGTAAGGGCTTGACACGTATCTCTTTAGGTAAGCCCGAACTGTTGCTTCGTTACAGTCCCAGTCCGCCACGCAGGTGTAGTAGTCTATGAAGAGGGAGTTTAAGATGAGTGATATAATGTGATTTTAGCATGCCCTACCGCCAGTGACGCACATATTATCTTTATATCATTGCTAGGTATGTAGTTTTTTTCTATTTAAGGTGGACATTGTAATATCTTCTCCTCACGTTATATTCATATCCTGATTCTTCTTTCCCTGATAACATTATGACGTCCACCTCTATTGGTGATCAGAGGAATGTTTTCCAGCCTACGTTTTTTTATACTGATTTTCTGTGATATGGCTTTAGATATTAATTGGTGTTTCGCTCGTTTTCAATATGTATTTTCTTCAAGTACACGAAGCAATCTAATTAACAAAAATCTCATATACGTCTCATATACGAGTTACCAATCCCATTAGATTTGAGAGAGAAGTAGAACAGGTGATGAAATTACAATCTGCCATTCCATTTACAAATACACATGTAATCTTAAGAGAATATGTGAACCTTAATTCAGGCTTGTTCTCCCCTCACAAAATTAAGTGCGGGGTGAACAGGAGAAACAGAAACGTGCGAAGCATTTAACATTACGTACATATATATGATGATACCGCCAGAAGTTTCATAATTAACTTGCCTCAGAAAAATATGCTGCTTCCTGAAACTAAAGATCATACAGTAAAAGCTCCTCCAGGCAGACTTCACTTAAACGTGCTCACAATGCCCTGATTTTCTATTCTGGTGTCGGCAACATTAATGCAACAAATCATATGTCGGAGAAGTTAAAGCCTTAATATGGCGACTCAAAAAATAAATTAATTAAAAAATGCAGACCAAATTGAAATGCTTAAAAGTAACAAGTGCACACCCTTGCTTTACTCCCTAAGTCACGAGGAGCATGGTGTTTCCAGTACATAAAGACAAACCAGCAGAGACACGCAAATTTTCTTTCATCTTGTTTTAAATTACTAGTTATTACTCTTAACTATTGCTCTATCTTATCGTACTCACCTTCTCCTGGCTCGTAGGCATCGATCCAGTACGGTTTGGTGATGGACCATGGGCCGCACACCTCGCCCCAGCCATTGTTCTGGCACACATTCTCCGGCATCAGACAGCCAGAGCTTGACGCCTAATAAATACAGAACACATACATAATGGGTAGAAATTATATATAGCAATCTAGAGAAGTATTACAACAATATATTACCCTATTGTCGAACCTGCATTCATCTGAAATTGTCCATTCCTTCAATGTGAAGGTAAGATTGGCTGATATCAAGTACGAGCGCACGCATCTATACTCCTGTGCCTAGCTAAAGAAAAAGGAAGACGTCGTAAAGTTTCATAAAGTCACATATTACGCCCCCATTCAGGCAAGATGCAAGTCAATATTCATTTTCGTTTTGAAGGGAACGTTCACAGGCAATCAGAGTAAACACACATATATATTTAGAGATTTGTCGTTAGACAATTGACTTTTGTGCATTATTGTTTGCTTTTATCGATGATGTAGCTATTACAACTATATCAACTTTGTTGTTATTATAATGATTATCATGATTATAATAATTATTGTTATTATTATCATCATCATTTTTATTTACATAATAATTGTTATTGAAATCAATATTATTGTTTTCATTCTGTTGTTATGGCTGTTTTTACATATACTATCATTTCTTCTACTATTTCATAGCTATTACTACGGCTATTATCGAAACAGTTGCTATTATTTTCATTGTGACATCATTGTTGCTGATGTTATTATTCATCATTATTATCATCATTACTCATTACGATTGTCATTACTTTTGTTATTACTATTGTTCTACTTCCCGACATCATTCAAATCGTTCTTACCACTATGTCTTTTGATAATGATATTGTAATCGTCACCATTATCATTATTTTCGTCCTTGTTATTGTTAATCGTAGGTAAATATCTGTTATTATTGTTAAAGATCTTATTGTTGTTATCAAATCATGGTGATATTAAACTTTACTATTATCATTGTTATTTAAATTATCACTGCTATCTATATTGTTCTTATTACTGGTAAAGTTAGTCTAAACGTTTTTGTCGTCATTATTATATTTTTTATCAGCTTCACTAGACATTATCATCAATATTAGTAGTAATATTACTATTATTATCATTATCAATATTATCATTATTATTATCATCATCATTATCACCATCAGCAGCAGCATTATCATTATCATTATCATCATCATTATGATCATCATCATCATCTTTATTGTTATCATTCCTACCACTACAACTACTACTACTATCATTATGTTCGTCATTATTATGATTACTATTATCATTATCATCATTGTTATTATTATTACTATTATCATTATCTTTAGCAGTATTACTATTATTATCATCATTATCATTATCATTATCAACCATCATCATCATTATTGTTATCATTCCTACTTCTACAACGACTACTATTATTTTCAATATTATTCTATTACTATTATTATAATTATCATCATCATCATCATCATCATCGTCATCATCATCATCATCATCATCATCATCGTCATCATCATCATCATCTTCAACATCACCAACTACTACTATTATTTTCATCATTATTATGATTTTTTATTCTATCTTTATCTTATTATCATTACTATTATTGTTATCATCATTGATATTATTACTATCATTACTTGCGCTACTACAGCTACTACTAGTAAAAATATTATCACCATTATCATTTTTGTTAATGTTCTCATTTTATTGTTAAATTGTTATTTCGTTTATTAGTGTTGTTATTATTATCATTATCATCATCATCATCATTATCATTATTATTATAATCATTGTTATTATTATTATTATTATTATTACTATTATTATTATTATTATCATAATCATCATTATTATCACTGAAATTATCATTGTCATTGTTATCATTATCTTTATAGTTATTGATATAATTATGATTACAGTTAATATTATAATTATAAAGATTCTAATGAATTGTGTAATTCCAATTATTATTATCATTTTTACCATTAATATGATTTTATTATTATTATTATTATTATTGTTATTATTGATATCATTATTATTATTATCATCATCATTATTATTATAATCATTATCATTATTACTATTTCAATTTTTAATGTTATAATTATTACTATTGTCACTAATATTATCATTATTACCATCACTATTGTTATCATTATTACCATCACTATTATCCTTATCATTATTATTGATATTATTACTTTTATTGTTATAATCATTATCATTATTATTAATTTTCATTATTGTTATTATTATATTTTTGTTGCTATATTATTATTATCATTACTTTTATAATATCATTTATTATTGATTTTATCATTATCATTATTATCATTATTTTCAATATCATTTTAATCAGCATTATTATTATTGTGATTAGCATTAATAGCATTAAAATCATTCTCGATACTATTATGATTTTTTATCATGATTATCATTATCGTTGTTTATCATTATTATTATTATTATTATTATCATTAATATTATCATTATTATCATTATTTTTATTATTATTATCATGATCATAATTATAATTATCAATATCATTATCATTATTATTATTATTATTATTATTATTATTATTATTTTCATCATCATCATCATCGTTGTCATCATTACTTTTACTATAATTATCATCATTATCATTATTTTCTGTCACCAATAATATTTTTATTATTATAGCTGTAGTTATTATCCATATTATCATCATCATCTTATCATCACCATCTTCATTAATGATTATTATTAATAATTTTACTTTTAATATTATTTTCTATTATTGTAACAATTATTGATATCACTGTTATCAGTATCATTAGTATTGTTTTTTGTTTAGTTTAGTTTTTTTTTTTCATTATCCATGTATCATTATCATCTGACATCATGATCATGTGAATTATCATATTCAAATTTAGAAAAACGGCAAATTCGCAGTGCAGGTTCTGCTGTTACATGAGCATTATTTTCACTACTCTGCAATGATAACTAATGCTAAGAGCAGCAAGACTTACAGCGTTTTAAAAAGGGGTACGGTTGGTCAAGTTCATGCTCCGAGGTCAGTAACTGCACCGTTCGGCGCTTAAAACGACTGTTAAAGCCTGAGAATGGCTCTCTCAAATGTCAGACCGGAAAAAGTTTACGCTCAAGTATCTTCTACAAGAAACGTTTTAAATCAATTGAGCTATCCTAACAGCATTCAATATATATATATATATATATATATATATATATATATATATATATATATATATATATTTTTTTTTTTTTTTTTTTTTTTTTTTTTTTTTTTTTTTTTTTTTTTTTCACTTGCATGCATATACAGTGCCCCTAAAACAGTCACACTCACGATTGACAACTCTAACACTCATACACGCTATCAAAACAAACGAGACAAATACTTCCATATATACGATTTTGTGAACTTGAAAACAAATGTCACTGAATATAATATCAACAGAAGAATGTTATTAGAAATTCTTAAAAAAAAAAAAAAATCTGCGTTCAAGAACTGTCATCATCATCACCATCATCATCATCATCATCATATCATCATCATCATCATCATCATCACCATCATCATCATCATCATCAATGTCAATATTAATGTCCGTTTCATTATCATTGTCTTTGTCAATGTCATCATTATTGTTATTGTTGTTATTATCATCATCATCATCTCATCATCATCATCATATCATCATCATCATCATTCATCATCATCATCACATCATCATCATCATATCATCATCATCATCATATCATCATCATCATCACATCATCATCATCATCATATCATCATCATCATCAATGTCAATATTAATGTCCGTTTCATTATCATTGTCTTTGTCAATGTCATCATTATTGTTATTGTTGTTATTATTATTATTATCATCATCATCATCATATCATCATCATCATCAATCATCATCATCATCATCACCATCATCATCATCATCTCATCATCATCATCACATCATCATCATCATCAATCATCATCATCATCACATCATCAAAAAAAAAAATCTGCGTTCAAGAACTGTTGGTTGGCATATTATTTTCTATACAGTATGAAATGATAACACTAATAACAAAGATACAGATAATAATGATAATGATTATTATTATCATTATTGTTGTTATTATCATCATCATCATCATCATCATCATCAATGTCAATATTAATGTCCGTTTCAATATCATTGTCTTTGTCAATGTCATCATTATTGTTATTGTTGTTATTATTATTATTACTATCATAATTGTTATTATTATTATTATTATTATTATGCACTGGTATTGTCATTATCATCATTACTTTTTATTATTAATTTTATCACTTTTATTATTATTATTATTGATATTACAATCACTATTATTATTATTATCATCATCATCATCATCACCATCATCATCATCATCATCATCATCATCATCATCATCATCACCATCATCATCATCATCATCATCATCATCATCATCATCATTATTATGCTAATGATAATAATAATAGTAGTAAAAAAATAATAATAATAATAATAATAATAATAATAATAGTAATAATGGTAATGATAATAGGGAAAATAATAAGAAGTCAATAAATCATCATAGCAACAGCAAAAAGAAGAAAAAGTTATTGAAAAGGGAAAAAGACCTCAGGGATCTCCTAGTAATAAATAAATGAAATGGATGACTCATATACATATCCTCTAGGATGTCAGTGTGTATTGTATGACATACAGTAAGAAACAAGCCTTTTCTTTACACAAAATTCTTTATTCCTTCAATTGATTTGTTTTTTATGCCAAATTTATATTGATAGATGGGTAGATGGAGATAAAATAATAAGATTTTATTGCCATGCTGCAGCAAAGGCCAACAAACTCGCTCCTAAAGCATAACACCGCAATTATTGTTTATTCTGGACTGATATTTTCCTACATCATTATTTCATCAATTCAGACATTTCACTTGAAATATTCTTTGATTCACTGAATAGTAATTATATTTTTCATTTCGAGAGTCTAAAAGTTTTAAAGTTTGAAAAATTGATAAATCTGATGATTTATGAATGATAA